TTTTCTCTGCGCTCCCGTGGAGACTTCATCCCCTACCATATTGCACAGGGGCGCGTGGAGACGACCGGGGGTCGCGAGTGCGCCCCCCCGCCGGCGGAAGGAAATGGTCGCTATGTGCGCGCGGGGGGCTGCGCTCCGGGTTCTTAGTTCATTTTTTTTTTTCTCCTCAGAATCGGGTGTTTTATTCGGGAGCCGGGGCGGGAGTGGGAGCGCCGGGTGGGGAGGGCCGTTCCCCGGTGACCCTCCCCTGCCTGTACGGTTTATTTATAAACTGTGAGCCCCAGGGCAGAAAGGGGCCCCCGGAGGGGACACCGCGGTCCCCGGGCGTGGGTTCGACTCGGGGCCCCGGTTCTCTGGCGGGGCCCCCCGGGAAAAGCCCTCTCCCCCCTTTCCGTGCCCCCCAGACACAAAGCGGGCGCAGGAAGCGCGGGGAGCGCGCGTTTGTCAATTCCAACGTTCGGCGTCTGACCCCGGGCGGCGCGTTTGTCAATAATCTTCCGTTTTCAGTCGCCCGGGCGAGGGGTTGCCCCCCCCCACCCCACCATGCAAATCGGTCGCTTTCCAAGAAGCCTTTGAAGCCCGGACTGGGGTTTCTGTCGTCTTATTTCTTCTTCAGTGTCTCTTTTCTCACTTCCTCCGGGCCGCCCCCTCCCGACTCTCCTAGCCCCCTCCCCAGCCTGCTCGCCCCACCCTCCCCTTCCACTCCCCTCCGTGGAGTGAGGGGCCCCTTTCGCCACCCGCAGGCCCCAGCCTTGCACAACTCTTTAAATAACCGTGTTTTGCAAGGCCCCGGCCGAAGCGGGTGACCTCTCTCTCCCGGAGGCATTGGTGGGGGGGAGGGCGTGGCCCGGGTCCCTCCCGCCCCCCCCAGGCCCCAACGACCACCCAGCACCCCCCATCCCCACCAAGTCCCTGCCCGTGAATGCCTCTCCCAAGGGGCTGTCATGAAGTGGGAGTAGGGGCCGAGGACAAAGGGCTCTTGGGGGGAGGGGTCAGGAGGGGGTGGGCGTCAACAGCTTAGGGTTATGGCGGCCCCAGGGGGGCCAGGCCCGGCCCGTGGGGGCTCCGGGGTTCCCATCTGCCCCCTCCAGCCCCAGCGAGAAGGCCTGCCCTGCTCCCCTCCCCCACTGGCGACCCGGAAGGGTCATTAAACCCAGCAGGCCTGGGGGGGGGAGATGGGGGGGAGTGGCTTCCTTTGGCCTCTTCCTTCTGCCCCCCCAAAGGGGGGGCGTTGCCTGGAGCGTTTCCGTGGGGGGGGGCTTGTCTTGAAGTTGTCAAAGGTGGGGGAGGGGCAGTGGACCAGACTAGACACTGGGTGAGAAATGTCCCCT